ACTCTAGTAGATCTTCTTAATGCTATATCAACATTTTCCTGAGGATCAGGATCATGTTGTTCAGCTGGTTGTTCAACAGCTTCAGGTATTTGTTGAACTTCAACATCTACTAAATCAGGATCATCAGCTTGTGGTATTTCGTGAACTGGCTCTTCAACACGCGTTTGTACTATAGGCGTGTTGTTAACAACAACGATCAGTCCGTTGCTTGAAGTGGCACACTGAGCATCCAAATGATCTTTCTCAAGACCAACGCCCTGAGATCGATCGCTCCCACTAATCAAGTCATTCTCAAGAAATTTAGCATTTTTTGATTCCACAAACCTAGTGCTATGAGATGGACAGTAAAATCTGTATCCCTTAGACCTTTCGGCATATCCAACGAAATACCCACTTATGGTCCTTGGGTCCAACTTCTTTTCTTGTGGATTGTAGACTCTTACTTCGTATGGACATCCCCAAACACGTACATGTCGTAAACTTGGTTTCCAACCTTTGAATAACTCAAAAGGAGTTTTTGAGACAGCCTTAGTTGGAACTCGGTTTAATATGTACATAGTCGTCTTAAGAGCTTCAGTCCACAAGGACTTAGGAAGTTTGGAGCTAGCAAGCATGCTACGCACCATGTCCAATAATGTTCGGTTTCTTCTTTCAGCTACTCCATTTTGGTCCGGAAAGCCAGACAAGTATATTGGGCAACAATCCCATTTTCACTAAGAAACCTCGCAAATGGACCATTTGCATAGCCACTCTCAGTGTATCTACCATAGTATTCTCCACCTCTATCGGATCTCACGATCTTAATTTGTTTGCCACATTGTTTCTCTACTTCTGCTTTAAACACCTTAAAAGCATCTAGTGCTTCATTCTTACTGTTAAGCAAGTAGAGATACATGTATCGCGAGTAATCATCTATGAAAGAGATGAAGTACTTATCACGGTATGCATCCATGTCTGGACAACAAATGTCAGTGTGTATGATTTCCAATAATTTAGAACTTCTTTTGGCACCTTTCTTAGACTTGTTAGTCTGCTTACCCTTAATGCAGCTTATACAAGTCTCAAAGTCAGTAAAATCCAAAGTACCAAGTACCCCATCATTCACTAACCTTTTAATTCTATCAATGGAGATATGTCCCAATCTCAGATGCCATAATATAGAAGACTCTTCATTCACAACACATCGTTTAGTACCAACATTTTCATGAACGTGCATAGAAGTATGGTTTTCATCATTTTGCAAATTAAGGAGGAAAAGACCATCAGACAAAGTACCACATCCAACAACATCAGATTTAAAAACCAAATTAAATCCGAAATCTGAAAAGTTAAAGGAATAACCATCTAATACAAGTCTGTAAATTGAAATTAAATTCCTAGAAAAACTAGGAATATAAAACGTCTTTTCTAAACTTAAAATAAAACCACTACTTAAAACCAGTCTGCACGTGCCAATGGCCTCCACATGTGAGGGCATCTTATTTCCTGAATAGACGCTGTGCTCACTTCCCATCGGCTTCCGCAGGTCTCGTAAATCCTGTAATGAATTGGTGACATGGATTGTAGAATCAGAATCAATCCACCATGTGTTATGATTAACATCAATCATATTGGATTCATAACAAACAAAAGAAAGTTGAGTACCTTTCTTATCAAGCCACTTCATGAACTTGGAGCATTGTTTCTTAACGTGCCCCTTCTTTTTGCAAAAGAAGCACACAATTTCTTTCTTAATGTCCTTTTGAGGAGGGATTTTCACTTTTCCCTTGTCCTTGGCTTGATCCTTCTTCTTGTACTTCACAGGGGTAGTAAAGTTCACAATTTTCTTTTCCTTTTCCTCCATAAGCAGCCTGTCCTCTTCCTGAACACACATGGTCAACAATTCATTGATCGACCATTTGTCCTTATGTGTGTTTTAGGATATCTTAAATGGGCCATATTGCTGAGGTAAGGTGCAAAGGATGTAGTGAACCAGGAAGGCTTCAGACATCTCAACCTCCAATACTTTTAACTGTGCCGCAATATCCCTCATGCGCATGATATGATCACGCACACCCCTTACGCCGGTGAGCCTCAAGGATGAAAATTGTATGATCAGGGTGCTCGCCATTGCCTTGTCTGAAGTGACGAACTGCTCATCGATAGCCTTTAGTAAATCTTGGACCTTGTCGACCTGCTCGACTGAACCCCTTATACCAGCAGAAATTTTAGTCTTTATGAACATCACACAGAGACGATTGGATCGTTCCTATTTTTCATAAAGCTAAATTTCTTCTGAAGTGTTGATTTCAGTAACTGTAGGGGGTTCAATCTTCCTTATGGCATAGTCTATGTCCATCCATCCCAAATGAAGGAGAACTCTCTCCTTCCACACTTTGTAGTTGTCCCCTTTGAGCTCGGGAACATCACATTTCATACTCCTTCCACACTTTGTAGTTGTCCCCTTTGAGCTCGGGAACATCACATTTCATATCAGAGTAATTAGCAAGTTGAATTGCTGCAGTAAATTAAATAATCGGATCTGTTCATTCAATATGTGTATATATTTTGATTGTATTAAATATTTTAGGGCAATAGCCTAGTGGTAAGGCTTGAGTATTTGGCCTAGAGGTTTGGTGTTCAAACCCATAGGGCTACACCATATATTAAAGGTCTTTGATGGGCCTTGGCTGGTCTCTTTGAATTCTAGTAATATTTTTGTTTGCTTTCAAAGACCTTTAATATATGGTGTAGTCCTAGGGGTTTGAACACCAAACCTCTAGGCCAAATCCTCAAACCTTACCACTAGGCTATTGTCCTAAAGTATTTAATACAATCAAAATATGTATACATATTGAATGAACAGATCCGAATTTTACAGTTTCGAACATGTTAACTCCTAACTCTTAAGCAAATTAAATTAAACTTAATTATTGATTTGATTATCATTATACCAAGATCTTAGAACAAATGATTTTCACGATGAGCAATTAATTAAGAAAAAGGAAAATCATAAGTTCTATAATCAAGCTCTGATACCAAATGATAAAATTAAAATTACTAAAGTTATCTAAACATGATAGAAATTCAAATACTTGATCAAAACGTATTTGGAAACTGAAAATATAAACTACATCAAACGTAAGCGTAATTGATTAAACTAACCTCCAGTCATCGTTGTCTTACTCAAGATATGGATGTTGATTTCGAAGATCTTCTAAACCTTATCTCTTCACTAAACGATAATGTATTTTTCTTTCAATTTTTTTTTAAGAGCAGGTATAGGGACCCGAAATATATATATATATATATATACTCTTTTTCTACTCTCTCCATCAAAGAGCAATAAAAGGAATTAGTGGGCAAAGTGGTTGGTTAAGTCATAACCAACTCTCTTGATGATGAGAAGTTATTGGACCACTTTGTGGCAACCGAAACCAACAAGCATTTCCAACATATTGTTAATTTGCTGAGAGCCGCTAGTTGCGAACTTTTAACAGAGATGGGTTTCAAAGCGGACAAGAAAAATAAAAGATAAAAAAATAAAAATTGAACTGCAAGCAATTCCAAAAACTGGTTACAAATTCTTTAAAAAAAATTTATGGGCAGTGGAAATTCATAGGAGATGCTTAATTAAAGATAATCCCTTCATCTGTAACTTCAGCAATGCTTACCACCATCAACTCTATTTTATTACAGCTAACCATCTCTGGATTGACAGTTGAGGAAGATAAATTATAATAGGAAAATGTTTATTGTAATATTAATATTATATTATTTTTGTACTATCACAAACAAAGATGCGAGGATTATCCGTGAAAATTGTCAAAAAGAATTTGTGAGTCATCATGAAACGAAGTCTTTATTTATGGCAGTACATAAGCAGCGTAGCATTGATAGTACGTATTGTCCTCACTGCTCTTTTAAATAACTCACTTTTCCGCGTGAATTGAAGGATTATAAGTGAAAATAAATAATCTACATTTGGAGTCAATATTTGCTTATTGGTTATGCGCTTTGGGTTTTGGTTTTGAAGTTTACAAGTACAGTCTAGGGTAGAGGTGTTGGGAAGGTCAAAGTCTAATAAGTTTCTAAGGCCCCGTTTGTTTTGTTGTTTTTGCAAGCGGAAAACCTGCAACAGCCTGCAAAAGTTCTGATTTAGTCGCTAAAGTTTTTTACTTTCATTCTATTAAGCCCTTAAAGTTTTAAAATTCATACTATTTAGCTCCATGGTGGTTTTACGCCTCAAACATCAGTTTTGGTACTTGATGCCGATGTGTATGAGAATTGGTCGACTTTAGTAAATGCTAATTTGGTCGATTTTGTGAATTAAATTTGAGAAATAGTCCATTTTAGAAATTTGTTGGGTAAAGTTTAGATGTTTATTATATGTTTTTTTTAAAACCATAATAAAAATAGGGCCATGCAATAGGAAACCACCTTTCATTTTAAATTTATATTTAAATCACCTTTAAAGTATGTTTTTGTTCAAATGAATCACTTCCTAACCAAATTTTCACTAAAAAGCTTTTAATAACCTTAAAAGATGCACGTTTAAAGTACGCGATTTGTACCTTGAAGCCTAAATGTTTACAAAGTGAGACACATGTGTTGAATGTCAGTTTTTAAACGTATTTTAAGTTTTTTAGTGAAAATTTTGATAAGGATTTGGCTGTTTGGAATATAAACTTATTTTGAATGTAGTTGACCTATAAATTAAAAAAGTAAGGTGATTTCTGTGAAATGACCCTCTTTTTAGGGAAGACGGGTCAATGATAATACACACTAAATAAATGTTAAATATTGAATCTGTGCATAAATCCTGACGCCCAATAATCTAATAGTCGATATCCATTTAGTGCGCATTTAATGTTATACACCTGGTTCTTTCTCCCTTTTAAGTTGGTTTTCCGGGGGAAAACCGCTCACTATACTTTGAGCACGGTGTTGGGTCCGGGTATAAATCCAGTAGTACTCGTATCCAACAGGCTCCAACCCGGTAACAGCGCTTGGATTACCATGCGGTGAATGGATCTCGTCGACTTCTACTGCTTCAGTCGACAACAAATAGACCTCACAGTAGTAAAATCTCGAGCTCCGAAATCTCCATCGCTCGTATCGATTATTTTTTCCCCCTCGTCCTGATCAAATCACCGACGAGATCGAAGATGGGAGGAGGAATGGAGGTGAACAAGAACAAGTTCATCGAGGACTGGAACGCCGGCCGCGAGAACCTCGAGTTCAACTTCCGATGGACTCGCCGCAACCTCGCTCTCGTCGGAATCTTCGGCATCGCCGTCCCAATCCTCGTCTACAAGGGCATCGTTAGAGAATTCGTGAGTAATCTCAGATTCCCCCAAATCTCTATAGATACAAACCCTAAATTTTCCATCGAAACCCTAATTTCTCGATTTGGATGCAGCATATGCAGGATGAGGACGCTGGCCGCCCTCCGAGGAAGTTCCTGTGAGGGAGGGGAAAGAAAGAAGCAAGCTTTGGTCTCTTTGTTTCGATGATAATAATGGTAATGTTGCTATGTTGACCAATTGAAATATTACTGCTTATTTTGTTCAACTGTGTGAAAAAGGAACCATTTTGAATACTACTGTGTTTTATTTGTGACTACGTTTGAGGTTTTGTTTCTATGTTTCATGCTACATCTTACAAAAATTGCTTGTTTTGTTGCAATGTGGTATCAGTTTGGATATGAACTGATTACAATGATTTGTCTATGAAGAAAGTTTGAATTCCAATTTGTATTAGAATTATAGAGAAATGCTTGGTTACCCTAATGGCATTTGAAGTGCTGAGAATCCAATTCAAAGACTTTCTTGATAATGAAGTGGAAATTCAATCGAACTAGGGAATTAAGTCTATTTGAAAGGAACCAATTGAAAAGAACTCTTATAGAAGCCGTGTGAAGGACATTTGGTGTTCTTTTGTTGCGTCCTACTGGAACTTGCTGATAGTCTGATATAAGTTTTAACAAAAGCTTATGAATTTACTTTTCTATTCGGTATGTGGCATGCATCTATGACATAAACAATAGCAGATCAGGTGTTCTAATCATGCAGATGAGATCTAACCTAATCATTGCAGAGTACAGCATGAGCATGAATCCTGGATGTGCTCTCGAAACAGTAAACAAGTTAATACATAACTTTAATGCGATTTTTTGTTCCCCCTTGTAATCCAGAGATCTCCTACGCCATGACCAGAGGATAAGCACACCTTAGATCCACACATATTGTCCCACTGACCCTGAATAGTAATAGAGGGGGGAAGGGAATGACGGCTAGATGATCTAAGAATATGGGATACATTAGGGGAAATGTAGGGTTTCCTATAAAACCCAGCATACTCCACTAGTACAAATAAATGGGTAACATACACAACTTTCTAAGTTGTTTACGAGTCCACATCTCCCTAACATATTTTTGTGTCCTTTTTTTTAAATTATTAGTTGCCTTCACAAAAATCATATGAGCAGTGTTATCGAGGCGCGCGCCTCGAGCGCGCCCGGGCACATGACGCTGTGGGTTAGGGCAATTATGCCCCGCAGGCGGGGCGCTGCACGCACACGAGGCGCGCGCCTCGCGTGCGCCTCATGTGTGCTTGACACTTGTATCATGTAATAGACTTCTTTTTCTATTTTTTTTAAAAATAATTTATATATTACATATTTACATCATGTAATAGACTCTTTCTTGCTAGTTGTTAATCCATTCTTCATCTTTTCATGTTTAACCTATAAAAAGAAAATAGTAATTAGTAATTTAGTATACTTGTTTGCTAACAATAACTTACTTTTCTAATTAGCATGCTAACTAGAAATTATGAACATGTAAATATGTAATTGTTATCTTCATTCTCCATCTTTTTATGCTAACTAGCAAATAACAATTAAGAATGCTAACTAGAAAATTATGAACAGTCATATTTGTTAATCATTTAATTGTTACTTAAAAATACATATATCAATTTTAAATGAAAATACATATTTCTTATTTGTTACTTGCTTGTTTTGTTTCTTAAACTTTTGCTTATGTTAGAGATTATCTTGCATTTTGTGAAAACTTATGAACTTTTCTATGTTATGCATGCTAATTAAGACTCGTTCGTGATTTAGTATGTGAAATTATATTTCTTAGTTTTTTTATGTTACAATTGATAAACATGTTGCTTATATGCTTTTTTGTCTTATGTTGAAAAATATTAGTTTGAGTTATGCGCCTCAATTCAGTGAGACGCGCGCATCGTTGTGCGTCTTGCACATGGTGCGCATAAGGGGCCTTTGCGCACTGCATTGCGTCTCGCGTCTCGATAACACTGCATATGAGATGAGTTTCTACTTGGTAAGACTGACCTATGAACTATGGATGCCATAAGAGATGTGCCTCTTCATGAACCCCTACATGCATGTATATAGGGGAAGAAGAGGGAACACCCTAGCCCTAAGTCGGCAGGCTCTGGGTTTAGGGCTAATATGGAGATACCCACTAGTACGAATAAGTTGGTGACTTGATGTCATACATAGCGTCCTGAGTCATCTCTTAGTTAGCATCTCCCTACCACATTTGTGAACTATTTTGTGTTTTTAATTTATTATTAGTTGCCTCCTCAAAAACCATGAGGTAAGTTTCTACTTGGTAGTAGTAGCCTATGAATTATATGTTCACTTACGCATTGAAGTGATCTGTCAAGATATGGCTATTACTCTTACAACAATTCATATCAGCATCATATATTGGTAATGACATCAGAAGATATTAGTTTTCAGAATCTCAATTGCAAAATGCAATGAAAGCAAGTTACTCTCATCGTACTCCCTTTAAAAATATGAGTTCGTGAAAATCTTTTTCATGGTTAATATTACCCTTAATTTTTTTTGAATAATATATTGCTATCCTAATCTATTCTAATTATCCTATTTTCTTTGAATTGGTAATTAAATAATTTATCCTATTCACAATGAGACTTAACATGTTATTGAATAAAGGAGATACGTTTGATATTATTCAAATCCTTTACTTATTTCAGTTCACAGAGAAATCTGAAAAGCATATGCTAGCCAATATCTAAATTTTTTCGGACTTTGTAAAAAATATCCTTTGAGTTTTTTAAATTGCAAAAACACCCCCACAAATTCAAAATTTTATTAAAATATCTTAAAAATTATAAATTTTTACTTATTTCAATTTAGCGAGAAATCTGAAAAACATATACTACCTAGAAACTAAAAGATTTGTAAAAAAACACCTTGAAAATTTAAAACCTATAAACATACTAAAAACCTACAAATAACACAAACAACCCCCGAAAATTTATGGAATTTGCAATAAACATTAAACATTTTATAAATTGCAAAATAAAACCTTTAAAATTGTAAAATTTATAAAAATCCTTATAATTTCCAACCTAATAGTACATTAAAAATATAGGAATTGTAAATATCTCCTACATAATTTATAATTTATTGAAAACACCCTTAAAGATTTAAAAATTACAAACAAAAACTCAAAATTCAAATTTTACAAAAAACACTCTTGAGAATTTCAAACTCATTAGTAAATTGAAAACATAATTATAAATAGTTTATAAACAATTTACAATATCTAGAAAAGGCCTGTAAGTTTAAAAAATTATAAAAAACCCCTAAAATTCATAATTTTTAAAAAACACCATGAGAATTTTTAACCTATAGACACTAAAATGAATATACAAACTTACTAACAATTCTTAGAAAATTAAAATTTTGTAAAAAATATCATACTCCCTTTAAAAGTATAGGTTTATGAAAAACTTTTCATGGTCAATATTATCCATAACTTTTTTAAAAGGAACATAACTAATTAAAAATGTATTAAATTTGAAATTTTTATAAAAACACCCTTAAAGTTTAGTACATTACAAATTACCCCTTCAAAATTTGAAAATTTTCAGTGATTTTTTGTAATTCTTTGATTTTAATGTAATGTTTAATAGTTTTGTGTATTTATAAATTATAAATTTTTAGGGTGTTTTTTTTTATAATTTTTAAAACTTTTGAGGGTGTTTCTTTTGTAGTTTTCTAAATTTTCTGTGTTTTTAATGTAATGCACAGATACATCAATTAATGATGATAATAAAGAGTAAGTCGTTCTTAAGATGTATTAGGCCATAGTTAAGTGCACATCACTATTACTAAGCAGTATAGTTTATATATGTAAATATTTTTAGACAATCTATATAGTGGTTAAAAGAATTTTGACTTTAATGTATTATTTTTTATAAATTATATTTAATGTGAACCCATCATATAATTTTGACTGTGGTCATCATAATTTTAATACGTTTGATTGATTGACTAAATAGGTATATAAACCATAGATTACTTTTTCACATGAACAAATATTTAGTGCTTAATAATTTAAATTATTATTTTTAAATTTAATATAAAGATAAGCTCTAATAATATTTATTTATTTACTTGCAAGATAATACAATCTCAATTCCTATTTTTGCTTGAGATTTATTCTATAATTACGCGTATCAAATTAGTAACTATAATGTAAAGTTAACCAATTTTATGGAGCCCAACTATTGACTATAAACATCTAGGTTTTATATATACTTTTTAATTTATTTAAAAAGGTCATATAATCTTATTTAATAAAATTGATTTAAAACTGAATAGTAATATTGTTATAATAATATTGTTATTAGGGAAAATTCTTCATAAACCAATATGTTCTTTACGATATATAAGCTATGCACTCTAAATTCTTGTGTCTTTTATAGAGTTAAAAAGTTTGAATACAAACATTTTGCTCTCACAATAACAAAATCCACTTAGCAGATGTGTATATTCCAAATGGGTTATATGTCTTATATACAATACAATTGCTCTAGGCAAGTGAGTTATAATAGTATTTTTCATTCACATCGCTTGGAGCAAGATATGATAGGGACATTGCATCAAAGAGAAAAGAAATTTTTATATTTAGAGCACATGGCGAAATATATCCTAATCTCCCTACTCTAATTTCGTAAGAAAATAATTTTTCATACTTTTAGTCTTTACTTCTATGATACGGAGAATGCTGAACCATACCTTGATGATATTATTCTTTGTAATTTTTTTCAAAGAATAAAACTTAATCAATTCTTCAAGTACAAGTGTTGCTCCTCAACTGCTTATTTGTAATATTTTTAAGGTGTTTGTAATTTGCAGTTTTACTTCGGTTTGCTAAAAGTTTATTTAAAGTTTTACTTATATCAATCCCATAAAAAACTTTGTTTTCCTTTATTTTATTCTATTTTTATCAATTTAAATAATCATGATATTTAACCACGTGCATTGCATGTGCATCTCAACTAGTATATCTAAACATGCATGTTCACTTGTACAACATTAGCTCCGTTCCTGTGCATCCCAATTATTTACTGATAATTGATGCCTTTCAAAGCTGTTGAAGTAGCTTTGGATAATATATTTCTCGGTGGCTTTTTATGCTCTAGATATAACTGTATGTACCTTGTATGTGATTGGTGGTGAAGTTCATATCCAGATGATTTTTATCAACTTCCAACCTTCCATCTTACTTCAGCTCACTAGATAGAAACATACTTAATGTTTCACCCTGCACCTCCTTAAATATGTAAACGATTGTATCAAATGGCATGTTATGTTTTAAATATCAAAATAAGAAACTTTTCTAGAGGTTC